TTGCCTGACTTCGTTGCCCTCTTTTTTTTTTTTTTTTTTTTTTTAGAGGTTTTTGCTATAGAGGTGCATGTGCTCGCCTCAGAGACAGAGACAGAAAGTGAGAAATCACACCCCAAGGGAGATGGCCACGTCGCAATCACTTCTCCTCCAGTCTCGTCACAGGATTTTGAGTATGCACGCACACGTACCCGGCATGACTTTTTAAGCTGCCAGGTCCAGGACTCGAACCATGATTGACTACATGGGAGTCCAGCAATGTAAGCATCACACCATCTGCTAGTCCCTGTGTAAGTCATTTTTATTTCCTCCCTTCTTTTTTCTCTCTCTCTCTCTCTCTCTCTCTCTCTTTCTTTCTTTCTTTCTTTCTTTCTCTTTTTTTGTGTGTATGCACTCTCCAGAGAGACAGAGAGAGACAAAGAGAAAGAGAGGAGAAAGCACTCCCCATGGGGCAGGGTGACACCCCGATCCCTTCTCCTCCATCTCTCTCTCCTTCTGGGATCTTGGGCACACACGCACATACACTTGGTGTGTTTTTCAAACTGCTGGGTCCAGGCCTCAAACTACACAGTTGGCCACGTGGGATCTGGCCGCCTTAACCACTGGGCTACAGAATCGAACCTTTTCCTCCTTTCTTTTTTTTTTTTTTTTTTCTTTTCCTCCTTTCTATATTTCCGTTTTTAAAATTTTTATTGACTCATTTGTTTATTTTATTTTGGCAGATAGAGACACACACACACAGAGGGAAAGTGAGAAAGCAAGCCACCAGGTCCAGGATTCAAGCTGCAGTCGGCCATGTGGGAGTGCCCAGCGCCTTAACTACCATGCCACCTGCTGGTTCCAATATATTTTCTAAAATCTCTATATTCAGCCAGTAAGAACTCTGCCACCAGAAAAATCCCCACCATATCATTATTTTAGAGCAAGAGTCCCCATTTTCCAGGGTGAAGACCAGTAGCGGTCCCTGAGCTGTTAAGAACCAGGCTGTGGGAACCAGTAGTTAGCGTAATGGCTATGTTGCTGGACTCCCATGTAGTCGACCGCGGTTCGCGTCCTGGACCCGGTGGCTTAAAACTCACGCCGGGTGCGTGTGCATGCGTGCCCAAGATCCTGAGAGGAGAATGGAGGAGAAGGGATTGCGGCGTGGCCATCCCCCCTGGGGGGTGATTTCTCACTTTCTGTCTCTCTGTTTTTCTGTCATGTGAGCATGCCCTATAGCAAAAAACCCTCTCAAAAACAAATATTATTATTTAATTGTATTTACTTATTCTAATTTGACCAGAGAGAGACAGAGAGAGAGAGAGAGACAGAGAGAGAGAAAGCAAGCCACCAGGTCCGGGATTGGAACCGTGGTTAGCCACCTGTGAGTGTCAGTGCCTTAACCACCACGCCACCTGCTGGTCCTCAAGGGGTTGGCTTTTTTATTTTTATTTTTTTAACTTGATTTATTTGCTTATTTTAGAGTGAGAGAGCGAGAGAGAGAAAGTGAGGAAGCAAGCTGCCAGGTCCGGGACTCAAACCACACTTGGCCATGTGAGAGTCCAGCGCCTTAACCACCACGCCACCTGCTGGTCGCCAAGGAGGATGGCTGTTTTAGAACACAAAATAAAACGTGTGGTTGCAGAGCTGAAGCCAAGGTCGGGGCTGAGGGGATATGTCCGCTCCTCACCTTCATGGTCCGGAAGACAGGGCGCCCCACCTCATGGCTATAGTACCCCACGCCATTGACCGTCATGTTGATAGTTAAGGTCCCCGAAACAGGTTTGCCGAAGGTATACCTACAACAAAAGGATGCAGGGACACCCCAGATGGGATGCTGGGAAAAGGCCAGGCCATGTTGTATGGCCACGAGACAAGGACAGAGACAACGCTTTTCTCCAACCTTCATTATTATTATTATTATTTTTTTGGGAGAGGTTTTCGCTATAGGGCACGAGCACTCGCCAGAAAGACAGAGAGAGACAGAGAGACAGAAAGTGAGAAATCACCCCCCAGGGGGGATGGCCACGCCGCAATCCCTTCTCCTCCATTCTCCTCTCGGGATCTTGGGCACGCACGCACACGCGCCCGGTGTGTTTAAGCCATCGGGTCCGAGACTCAAACCATGGCTGACTACATGGGACTTCAAAGACATAGCCACTATGCCATCTGCTGGTCCCATGGTGGGCACTTCAATAGCACTATTTTTTTTTTTTTAAGAATTATTTTATTTGGGACCAGGAGTTAGCGTAATGGCTATGTCACTGGACTCCCATGTAGCCAACGGCGGTTCAAATCCTGGACCTGGTGGTTTAAACTCACGTCAGGTGCGTGTCTGTGCGTGCCCAAGATCCCGAGAAGAGAAGAAGAAGGGATTGTGGCATGGCCATCCCCCCTGGGAGGTGATTTCTGGCTTCCTGTCTCTCTGTCTCTCTCTCTGTCTGTCTGGCGAGCGCACGTGCCCTATAGCAAAAACCTCTCCAAAAAAAAAATTATTATTATTATTTTATTTAATGTTATTTTATTTTATCTATCTTTCTATATCTAACTGTATCTTAATTTGACCCGAGTGGGACAGAGTAAGAGAGACAGAGAAAGTGAGAAGACAAGCCGCCAGGTCCGGGACTCGAACCTGTCCGCCATGACCCGTCAGCCTGCCAGCACCTTCAATAGCACTTTCTAGATTTACTGTGTGTGAACTTGCCGGGTCATTGGAATGGATTCGACACACACAGCCAGAATCCCCGAGCAGGCAGCAGACTGCGGCAGGACCTGTGTCCTCTGAGGGATCCCCCTGGAGTCCCCCAGAAGGGACCGCAGCTCTTGGAGTCCTTAAGTCCATCCTGGTGTGGGATTGGTCAACTCCCTGGTCAGGTGACTAGCCCTCCCTTGCAGGAACCCCTCAGTTCCCCTGGGTGTGGGTGTTCTTGGGGGACCCGGGATACCCACGGAGGAGCAGAGACGCCCCGGGAGTGACGGGGGGAACAGTCACAGCAGGGGAGGGTGCATGTGTATGTGCGCGCGCGCAGCCGTAGGGGCGGGACGTGCTGACGTAGAAGGGGCGGGGCTAGGATGGGCGTGTCGGCATGGGGAGGGCGGGGCTAGGGCAGAGCTAAGGGCATGGAGTGGGCGGGGCTCCGCTCAGGGGCCCGTCTTTCTCACCTGGCCTGCACGGTGCCACTCTCGCAGGCATCCAGGTCCCGGATGTACCTGGGTGGATCGATCAGGAGCTCAAACTTGGGCAGCACTGAAAGAGAAAGAAGAGAAGACGGATGGGGGCCGGTAGGTGGCGTGGTGGTTAAGGTGCTGGACTTCCACACGGTTAACCATGGTTCGAGTCCCAGACCTGGTGACTTGCTTTCTCACTGTCCCTTTCTCTCTACCTGTTACTCCCTGGTCAAAATCGAAGAATAGGGACCAGCAGTTGGAGTAATGGCTCTGTTGCTGGACTCCCATGTAGTCGACCGCAGTTCGCGTCCCGGACCCAGTGGCTTAGAATTCACGCTGGGCGCGTGTGCGTGCGTGCCCAAGATCCCGAGAGGAGAATGGAGGAGAAGGGATTGTGGCGTGACCATCCCCCCTGGGGAGGTGATTTCTCGCCTTCTGTCTCTCTCTGTCTGTCTGGCGAGCGCACGTGCCCTATAGCAAAAATCTCTCCAAAAAATAAATAAATAAATAAAATAAGAGAAGAGGGATGGGGGAGTTGGGAAGGGGAGGTTTTATTTTTGTTTTTGCTTTAGATTTCTGTCCTAGAGTACGTATGCTTGTCAGATACAAAGAGAGACAGAGAGAGGGAAAGTGAGAGGTCACCCCCAGCAGGGAGAGCAATGCCACAATCCCTTCTCCTCCATTCTCATCTCAGGATTCTGGGCATGCACACAAACACGGGGTAATTTTTAAGCCGCCAGGTCTGGGACTTGAACCATGGAATCACTCTTGTGGGCTCCAGCACTCTAACCACCATGCCATCTGTGGGCAATTTTTATTGTTATTATTTATTTAAGTGTTTTAGATACAGGGCATGTGCACACACCAGAAACAGAAAGAAATCACTCCCTAGTGGGGATGGCCATGCTGCAATCCCTTCTCCTCCATTTTTCTTTCAGAATTTTAGGCATGCACACACACACACCCAGCGTGAATTTCAAGCTGCCGGGTCCGGGACTAGAACTGCACAGTTGCCACATGGGCTTCAGCTGCTTTAACCACCACGCCACCTGCTGGCCCAGATAAAGGTTCTTGTCGTCCTTCTCCTCCTCCTCAGCATCCCCATTACGTCCTAGGTTTTTCCCTGCTCGGAAATCCCAGGATCGTATAATCATAAGATTCTCTGCCTTGGGGACCAGCAGGTGGCATGGTGGTTAAGGCACTGGACACTCCCACACGGCTGACCACAGTTCGAGTCTCGGACCTGGTGACTTGCTTTCTCACTTTCCCTCTCTCTTACTCTCTCTCTCTCTGTTTCTCCTGGTCAGATGAACATAAAATGAATACATAAATTAAAATAATTCTTAAAAATATAAAAGATCCTCTGACTTACCGTACTTCTGAACCTCGAAAGATTTGTTGTACACGTGACCTTGCATCTGGACAAAGACGAACCACTCTCCCATCACGGGCTGGTCGGACAAGGGGAAGCTCAAGCTGGTGATACCTGGAGAGGAGACACCCCGTCGAGTTCCGGCAGGGGGACCTAACGGAGCCCCCCAGCTCGGTGCCAAGCGGGGAGGTCGGAGCAGAGGGACCCTGGGACCCCGCTCCTCTTCTGCCCTCCCAGAGTCTGTGCAGGGCTGTGAGCAGGTCCCAGACTCAGGCAGGCTGGAGGTGGAGATTTGGGGATGACGGACAGGGTGTACCCCACATTCCTGGAGTGCCCCGAGCCCAGGCTACGTGCTGACAGTGAGCTGGACAAACAAGTACCGTGGGCCAGTCCCACTCATCCGCTCTGTCCTGCAACCAAGTCATTCTCAACCTCGGCACGGCTGACTTTTTTTTGGGGGGTGGGGTGGGGTGGGTGGGCAGACCATTCTCCGTTGTGGGGACCATCTTGTGGGGTGTTGAGCTACAACTCTGGCCTCTTATCGATGAGGTGCCAGAGGCCCTTCGCCCCCAAGTCATGCCCATCGTGACAAACCATGTCTGGATCCTTCTTCAGGTTGTTAGTGTTGAAAAGGTTCCGCCTTCAGGCAGCCTTCCAGGATTGAGCCCCACTCCACCCCACCCTCCCAAGGCTGGACTAAAGCCTCCTGTTTTGCACTAAGTTTGGAGTTCTCCTTGCTGACACTCGGCACAAGGGATGGTATCCAGGGTGGTCTGTCCATGTTTGTCTCCCCCATGGGGCTGAAGGCTCTTCCTTTGTCGGTATTTCGCTATGGTGTCCAGTAAATGGTTACTGGGAGAAAGAAATCGGGACCAGCAGTTGGCATAATGGCTATGTCACTGGACTCCCATGTAGCCAACCACAGTTCGAGTCCCGGACCCGGTGGCTTAAACTCACGCCGGGCGCATGTGCATGCGTGCCCAAGATCCCGAGAGGAGGATGGAGGAGAAGGGATTGCGGTGTGGTCATCCTCCCTGGGTGGTGATTTCTCACTGTCTCTCTCTTTCTCTGTCTCTCTTTCCAGTAAGCACACATGGTGAGGCTCTGGCCCAAGCAAAGCCTTTGCTGACTCCGAGAGAGAAAAGCAGTGGTTTTGCTCTTTTCTCCGAGATCCCTGGGGGTCCTGTGGGGGAATTGACATACACAGTGACTGACCTGAAGGTGGCCCAGCGTGTGGTGACAAGGCACAAATTACAGCAAGTAGCTGGGAGGGGGTGCCAACAACCAAGGCCCCCGTGTTTTGGAAAGATCTCAAGCTCTGGGCGGGATCCCTGGCTCAATTCTAAGCACACAGAAATGTGGGCTCACATTTTTCCTCCCAGTAGCTGCTTACTGGGCACCACGATAAGATACCAACAGGTGGTGAGCTTCCAGCCCCATGGGGAAAACAAACAGACTACCCAGCCTGGATACCATCGGTTGTGCCGAGTGCCAGGGTGAAGTCCAAACTTAGTGCAAAAATTGTGGTTTCATCCCAGCCTTGGGCTGCAGAGGCAATCCTGGAAGTCAGCCTGGAGGAGGAGCCTTTTGAACAACAATATTCTGTAGAAGGATCCAGAAATAACCTGTCATTTAAAAAAAAAAAAAAAAAAAAGGTCCCCATGCTGCAGGGAAGGTGTGCTGGGCTGGGCTGAGGATCCTGGATCTGAATCTATACTGTCACTGGGCAGGTAAGGTCTACCCCATGTGCAGACCTCATATGACAGCAGGGAGGAGGGAAGAGAAAGGGAAGAAAGAAACTTACCGAGACAGCAGGGCTCCAAGTGTCGCCATTCCATCATTCGAGAGCCCCGGGGATCCTGGGGGGGATAGACATGCCCAGTGAGGTCACGATGGCCCAGCGCGTGCCTAACACAAATGTTCTGTCTCTGTGTCTCTCTGGTGAGCTCACGTGTCCATGGGCAAATTTAAAACAAGATGGGGCTGGCAGGGAGACATGATGGTTGAGGTTCCAGATTCCTCAGTTCTCCCTTAGGCGAGAACTGGACAGTGAATGGGGGTAGGCCCTAGGATGAATTATGAAGACAAAAGCAGGGGGTCAGCACGTGGCGTGGTGGTTAAGGGCGCCGGACTCCCACATAGCCGACTGTGGTTCGAGTCCCAGACCAGGCGGCTTGGTTCCTCGCTTTCCCTCTCTCTCTCACTCTGTCCATCTCTGGTCAAATTTAAATAAATAAATAGATAGGTAGGTAGATAGATAAAATGAGTTAAATCATTCTTAAAGGAGCTGGCAAGTGGCGTGGTGGTTAAGGGTGCTGGACTCCCACATGGCTGACCTCGGTTCAATTCCCAGACCTGGTGGCTTGCTTTCTCACTTTCTCTCTCTCTCTCTCTCGCTCTCTCTCTCTCTCTCTCTCTCACTCTATCCCTCTATGGTTAAATAAAAATAAATAAATAAATGGAGGAACCAGCAGTTAGCGTCATGGCTATGTCGCTGGACTCCCACGTAGTCGACCGCAGTTCGAGTCCCGGACCTGGTGGCTTAAAACTCACGCCAGGTGCGTGTGCGTGCGTGCCCAAGATCCCGAGAGGAGAATGGAGGAGAAGGGATTGCGGCGTGGCCATCACCCCAAGGGGTGATTTCTCCCTTCCTGTCTCTCTGTCTCTGTCTTTCTGGCGAGTGCACGTGCCCTATAGCAAAAAACCTCTCCAAAAAAAAGGAAAAAGATTAACTAAAATAGTTTTTAAAAATTAAAAAAAATTCTTAGAAAAAAAAAGGGGGGGACCACCAGTTGGCATAATGGCTATGTTGCTGGACTCCCATGTAGTTGACCACGGTTCAAGTCCCAGACCCATGAGACTCACGCCAACCCCGTGTGCGTGCGTGCCCAAGATCCTGAGAGGAGAATGAAGGAGAAGGGATTGTGGTGTGGCCATCCCCCCTGGGGGGGTGATTTCTCGCTTGTTCCAGAGTGGACCTGGTGACCAAGGGGGACAAGCCAGACAGGAGATCCCAAGTCGGAGCCTTGTGGGCAGACAGGGAGCGACCCAGAGGGGCACACCGAGTAGACACAGACCAGATCTTGCCGAGGGTGGGGTAACGGAGCCTCACATCAGAACCCGGGCGGGGCTCAGACCACTCACCAGCACGTAGGCTTCCAGCTGCAAAGAAGACACACAGAAGCAGTGAGCAAACCTTCCAGCAAGTTCCAAACCCTCCACACACACTCACGCTCAGTCCTCATCCCTGGGACAGGCACAGTGGCTCATATGGGTTTGGTTGTGTCCCCCCCTTATTTATTTATTTATTTGGAGAGGTTTTCGCTATAGGGCGCGTCACTTGCAAGAAAGACAGAGAGAGACAGAGAGACAGAAAGCGAGAGATCACCCCCCAGGGGGGATGGCCACGCCGCAATCCCTTCTCCTCCATTCTCCTCTCGGGATCTTGGGCACCACGCACATGCGCCCGGCGTGAGTTTAAGCCACCGGGTCCAGGACTCGAACTGCGGTCGACTACATGGGAGTCCAGAGACATAGCCATGACGCCATCTGCTGGTCCCGTGTCTCCCTCTGCCCCAAAACACATATGTTGACATGCTTACCCCAGTACATTGGAATGGAACTGGGCTTGGAGAAAAGATGAAAAGATCTTGAGAGAGGTGATCAAGTAAAAATGAGGTCATTAGAGGGACCAGCAGTTAGCGTCATGGCTATGTCGCTGGACTCCTACGCAGCTGGCCACGGTTCGAGTCCCGGACCTGGTGGCTTAAACTCACGCCGGGCGCATGTGCGTGGTGCCCAAGATCCCGAGAGGAGAATGGAGGAGAAGGGATTGCGGCGTGGCCATCCCCCCTGGGGGGTGATCTCTCGCTTTCTGTCTCTCTGTCTCTCTGGCGAGTGCACACACCCTATAGCATTTTGCTCCCCCAAAAAAGGGGGGAAATTAGAGGGAGAAAGTCCCGCTGCTGATGGTGGCCTAAGCGATAGAGTCCCAGGTGGCTCACCTTCTCCTGGACAGGCCTCAGGTCTGGGGAGACGGTGAAGACATTTACATGCACTGAAAGAAAAGACAAGGTGTGTAGCCACTCCCGGCAGTGACAGGCCCTCCCCGCGGCCCGTGCCGGTCGCCCACCTCGGTGCTGGGGCTTGTACACAGGCTTGTCCGTCTGGATGAACACGGAGGCGCCCCGGCCGTCCACGGTCACCGAGGTCTGATTGTGGAAGACGGAGCCCTCATCCGCCCACCGGCCACGGCCCCACACCTTCAGCAGCGACTGGCCCCGGAGGCCCGTGGGCACCTGCAAGCAGACCACGGAGCACTGGGGCTGGTGGGCCTCTCAGTG